ACGGCTTTCAATGCGAAATCCCCGTTGCGAGGGGGCAAAGCGTACGCGAGCAGCGTGGTGCCCTTTTCATATGCTGCTGCTGGTCCTTAAGAGCAGGTGGTGTTGCAGTATCAACGCCGCCATACGCGCCGGTGCCGGGGGTCGTGCCCGCGTCAGCCATGGTTCAAATTGGAAAGGCGATAGTCGCCAAGTCGGCTGTACAAGCGCCAAACTGATGTCAAAAATATGTAAATAAGTAAAGAATGGTGTTGCGAATGTGAAAACGCTGAAATTGTGCTGAAAATCCAAAATCGTACACTAGTACGGCAACCTTAAATTAAGGGTCCAGGGTCCAGGCCGTGGAAACCGTAGATTACAGTAATTTACTATATTACGCTTTTAAGCTTACGTAATTAAGGTTGCCAAATCCCCATTCAGCTGAATCTCACATCCCTACCTGCCTTATTCCGTGCATTGATTCGCGCGGCCCCACCCCCCGCCCGTGTGCACTTCCTCCGCTTCCTCACCCCGCTGCAGCCACTGTGGAGGATGCTCGTGAGCGTGGTGAGCTCCAGCGGGTGTACTACCTGCTGCTGTCGGGGGTCACCACGGCGGGGCTGAGTGCGGCGCTGCTCAAGGTGCCGCCGGGGGCTCTTGAGGCGGCGGTGGTGGGCCTGACCCGCGGGGCGGCCACCCACGTGGATCCCAATGTGCGGAGGACGTGTCTGCAGGTGATGACAAGCTGATGCGAGGAGGAAGGATGGGAGGGCCCGCAGGAATGAAGGAAGGGAGTGGGGGTGGATTCTGTGTCGTCGGGAATGGGGATGATCTCCACCACGTCAATAGTACGATCGTGGTGGTGCGTGGCACGCCGCGCTTCCTGTACCATGTTTTTGCTGTCTGCTATGTTTCGGTGCTAATGGCGCAGAGAGTGAGCAAAAAGGGGAGACTTGGTAATCTGTTGACCCTGTGAGCTATGTACCCTTTCCACTAAGTGCCCACTGGTATGAGTGTATGTACGCTATATTGTATGTATATATGAACACTGTCCCCCAGGTATTCTTAAGGTTGGTGGGGGACTGGTGCAGCTCTCCGGCGACGGTTCCCGGTGCCAGCGGCGCCACTGCTGCCAGCAGCTGCAACAGCTGCAGCAGCAGCGGCTCCTCGGCCCCTGGCGAGGTGGTACCCGGGTTTCGACGGTACGCGATGGAGCGCCTGGGCGAGGAGGCATGCATCGTGGGCTTGCTGCGGCCAGCGATTGCAACAGGGGGGGGTATGGGTCCTGGCCCCACGGCGGGAGCCTCCTCGGGGGGTTTCCTGGACATCCGAGACGCGGGTGTGCTGAACCTGCTGGGGGATGCAGCGGCTGCGCTGAAGCTGATCTACGCTAAGTGTGGCGAGGAGTTCCCCTCGCATCTGGTGTGTATGGAGGGGGAGAAAAATGAGCAGGCCCAGGGGACACAGCTGTTAGCGCCCTGTCCACGGACGGATGTCCCATTCCGGATAGCTACCATGGAAATGATACAGATGCGGGCCGTTTGATATCGGTTTCACCACAGCAGGGTATAGGCAAATGGGTTAGGCGCCCGATGGTGGACTGGTGGTGGATCTCATGCCACGGCACACTAATTATAATCCAATACCTCGGATATGTAGGCGACGGCTACTGCTACGGTTGCCGGTGGCCTGCTGTCCTTGGCGCGCCTCCTCTCCATCCCTTCTCCTGCTGTTTCCATCTTTGATTCCGATACCTATGCATACCACAGTGGATGATGCTGCATGTTGCGTTAGTGGATTCATGTAGCATGTCCAGTTCCCTGCCTTCCTGGTCCCACTGGTGTGTCTGTTGAGTTTTGCATGACGTGATTGCCTCCGTTTCGCTCTCGCAGGTGGGGACGGTTTTGCCGGCTGTGGGTCTGGCTCCCGCTGCTCAGCAGCAGCTCATCTACCTGATCCGCGAGGGGGAGCCCAAGGAGCTGCGGGACTACCTGAGGACACTCGTGGCACAGGCGCAGCAACAGGCACAGCAACAGGCACAACAACAGGCACAACAACAGGCACAACAACAGCAGGCGCAGGTACAGCAGCAGCAGCAACAACAACAGGCGGCGCAGCAAGGTGTCGCGGTTGGGCGAGGTTAACTGCGGTAGAAAGCTGCGAGTTGGGAAGGACCGTTGGCCCGCCGAGTAGGCGGAGGTGAAAGGAGACGGCTCTTGGACTGGGGGTTGGCTGGCCAGGGTTTTGCTACCGGCTGCTGGGATCTTGAGCGTTGTTATGCTGGGCTAGGCTAGGTTGGGCTGGAAAGAAGGACCGTGCCGGCGTTATGGGCCTTGGCCTCCTAGATGTGCTACTTTAGGTCGCCGCATGATAAAGGTGAGCTGTGGTAGAAGAGGCGTAGTCGACATGTGTTGGGACGAAACAAAGCTGGTTCGATGAGTAGCAGCGGTAGCACTAGCACTAGCACTAGCAGCAGATCCCACCGGGAGTGTGCCCAGGGCGGTGGCGATGCCTCGGGTATCCGGGGCGAGGTAAGCCGACACTGCAAACGGGGCCGGGGGCTCGACGTTCTCCGTTGGACTAGGACACGGGAGGATCCGCGAGCCCGGTTGTGACATAGACGCGGACGGCAGAGAGGGGGGCGTGTGACGGCAACAGCGGTATTGCACTTTCTTTTTTCCTGTGTTGCTGGGGTTGTTTGGGTTGTTAGTGGGATGGAGTCTCGTGTGTTTACTTGAGGGAGGCGGCGTTTTATGGCTTGCTGGTTGAGCGTTGGGCGGTCACCGATGGTGGTGGCGCAGGACACGGTGCGGTGAGGAGGTCTTGGTAATCAGGGACGACGACGGTGGTGGCGTGTTCACGTTTTCCTGGTCCGGTTTTGTTGGTTCGTTGAACGATTGGGCCGCCTTGACGTGGTCGGCAGCACATGCTATGAGTACGGGTAGGAGTGATAAGGCGTCATGCGTGTGTAGGTCGGGGGGTAGAGGCGGGGATTGGGAGGTGGAAGTGGCGGGGTGGCAGCACGTGGTTTGGGTGATGATACGGTCGGGGGGAGGGGGCATTATTAACGCAGTCCGCAGGGCGGCAGCAGTAATTTTACATCAACATCAATCAACAGCTTGCAAGGCCGCGTCAAAAGATTTTGCGAATCGAGGTTCAGACTAGCTTTTTTCTTCATGAAACAACTGCTTTTCCGGAATGATGTAGAGGGGTTATGGTTGTGCGACCTGGCTGGCGTCTATTTCACTGTTGATAAGGGGGTTAATGCAGACGGAAGGGGGATTCCATAGCTTGCTCGGCGGCCGAAGTGAGGCGGCGTTATTACAACACAGTTGGCGGCAGTGCGGGTGATGGGGCTCCGGTGCGAACGGCGCGTGTGGCCTTTGATGTCCCGCTACCGGAGCCCATGTAGGATGCCAAACTAGGCGCTCGCTACGAAAATCTCGCAAATGGGTTGAATTCTTGCACGTGCCCCGTCGCCGCAATGATGGCGCTCCGGCCCGTTATTAGTCACGGAGCTTGCAGGCAAGTGCAAGCGGTTTTGGCTGGTTCCCTAAGGGGGTTCCTGATAAACAATGATGTTAGCTGTCGCTACGTGGCAAAGCTTCGCGCCCCTGCTCCTGCCTTGCTGGTTTCCCAGGGCAAACGATGAAAAACTTTGGCAGAGGGCCCCAGCCAATGATGGTACTTCCCACAGCTTAGCCTGGAACACTTCCTGATCGCGCACAGGGCTAATACAGCAATCCCCTAAATCCCCCAATACAGCAAGAGCGCCCATGTAAATCCTCGCTTAGTTGTAGGTTATCTCATATAGGTAGGTGGTGAACAAATTCCTATGCCTGTCGCGCGGGCGCGGAGGTGGTAACGAGAGGGTTGGATGGCTCACAAGTCGCACAGTATTTTTCAGGACCAGAGGGACGCTCTTTTGTTGAATCAGTTACCTGATTCATACACCTATCAGAGAATCGATTACCTGATTCGTGCACTTATTAGTGAAAGCTTCCACAACAATCACGATCATATAGACAGGTGTATCGAGATTCACTCGGCCAACTTACAAATCCTTTTCGGCAGGACACTACTGTTTCTACATGTAGCTGTATATGTGGACATAGGAAGGATAACCCTTCGGAAGACGTAGCAGCAAATCTGTCTTTCGCAGTTTCTTTTCCGTAATTTGTCTTTTACTGTACCTCAAATTTCGAAAGTATGCCGGAAATGCGCATTGGACTAGCAGTTTTGTAGGTTGCACAGGCGCGGATTGGTACGACCAAATCACCCGCATTATTCTCAGGCATCGCATCTTCTTGCTCGCCATGCATACATAATACTGCTAACACCTTCAGGTTTTCTATAAGATACTTACAGAAGCGTGGCGTGTTAGGCGTAATACACTGCAAGACGGAAGCTTGCCTTGTTAGTCGAAAGTTGTGCTTCACAATCACGCCATTGTTAAGAAGTGAAGCTAAGCTTCGGAAAGGAAGCAGTTACTGTAACGTGCTTAAGAGCGGATAAACAACTCACATCGCAAACCCTAAGATGTTGCTTCGCGGTCTTTCCGTCTGTCCCCGCTGTCCGGCAAAGTAAGTCCTTTCATTTCTCTGTCCATTTGCATGCCGCTCGTGGTCGTCAATCCATGAACCGTTTTGACAGGTCGGTCGCTGGTCGTTACCGTGTATCGGTGTGCCCGGTTCCAGTAAGGGATGCCCGCCAAGCTTCCCATGGTTGTCGATATCACGCCGAACGGACAGAAGCTTTAGATGTTGGCCAAGACTACCCAGGTAATGTCCGCTCCATCGGTTGCAAATGGATGACGCGCGCGGTGAGAACCCCAGTTTGGCTTTCCCGCAGATGACTTGCGATCGCAAGAGGAACGTGATGATGGAACTGTGGTCGTCCAGGATGACATGGCGGAGCTCCTTACGGTACGTGAGGAAAAGGTTTTTGGAGGTCCCATCTGTTCATCTCGCTGTGGTCGCTCGCTCGCTGGACTGTTGCGACAAAATGTCCTTTTACTGGCCCACATGAGAAACAATAACGCCTTACAAATAAGCAGGAGCCTTCCGACTGTAACCCTGCAGCTGCTGCCCGAAGACATTCGAGAGCCGCTGGTCAATCACCCCCAGCGGGCGAGCCTTGTTGAGGTAAGGCGTTGCGGTAGGCTAACGTGTTTAAGATCATAATTGACTGTACTCTAGTCAACTCCTCCTTTCGATAGGCTGACTGTGCCGATGGTCGAATGCACAACTTGCTCCGATTTCCTTGTGCGACATGGCAGTATATGAACTTCTCGCGCTCTCGTATTACACAGGTTGTTTTGGACCTCGGGCGCCAGCCGGAGGCGCGTTTTGAAGGCATTCCGGCCGGCGAGTATCTGCGGAAGCAAGAGGTGCGGCCTGGGGCAGCGTCTTGGGGGTATGCGCATCCGTGGGCGCGTCCGTGTTGCGTTTCAGTGGCTCCGCTGCAGGTCGCATCCCCCTCGTTGCGGTTCCACGGCGGAACGCCTCGGCAGGCCCCGCATCCCGGGTGGGATATGCCCCTGTTTGGCTCACCTAGTGAGTGTCAGTGTCCAACTACCTAACCGCCTACCTACCTGCCATACTACCGATGCTGCACCAGCCAGAGCCATTCATACGGCAACCCCCACTCACCCCGGGTTCAAGAAGGCACAGCTTCAGGCGGCTGTAGTTGTAGCATGTGTAGACAGGAGGGCTGCAAGTACATACTCTCTGACGTGTACATCTGCGGCCTCTCTTTCTCCCGCATATATGAAGGGGTTCTTCGGAGGGCTTAATCTCATAGTGCTGCATGTGCTGCTGCTGGTATTGCTGCTGCTGCTACCTACACCATATCATGTAATTGTATTGCGTTCATGCGTGCTTGGGTGGGTGATGATGCCGTTTTTGGTGGTGCTGACCCTGAAGGTGACGACCGCGGACCTGGAGGCGGCCGTTGCGGCGGTTGGCGAGTTCGGCGCTGACAACCGCGCCGGAGTGCCCGGCACCTTGCACCGCATTTCCGCCATCCGCAACCGTCGTGGCATCATCATCGGGCTCACCTGCCGAGTGGGTCGTGCGGTGAGCGGCCATATCGCTATGCTCAAGGACCTCGTGGAGAGTGAGTTTGGGGGACCCTGGGGCCGGGGGAGAGAGAAGGTCCGGGGGCGAGGGGGCCATAGTGTTGAGATGGAGGTCATACACAATACCAGTGCACATGACGCCTTGAAACGTGTGAGTGGACCACCTTGTCCAGTGATGTGTAACTTGTTGTGCGCACAGAGGATAAGCTTTGATGCTATGGTGCAGCTCCTGATGTGGGTTCTGAGCATTTTGCCCTTTCCCTGTCCTTTTACGCCGGCCTTCTCCCCGGCCCTCCCTTGCCACTGCGTGGGCTGTGTAGGTGGCCACTCGGTACTGCTGCTGGGCCGACCAGGTGTTGGCAAGACGACCGTCATCCGGGAGATTTGCCGTACGCTGGCGGACGAGTACCGCAAGCGGGTAGTCATTGTGGACACCTCGAACGAGATTGGCGGGTGGGTGGGTCGTACGGGTGTGCAGGGGCGGGTGGGTGGTAGTCAGTGGGTTGCTGGAAGCACCCCTTGGACTGCATGCGGGCTTTGGGGCCGCAGGAGCGATGTCGGCAGCTTTTTATTACAGTCGCTGTGAGCACCTTGGCCTAGGAGCTGCGATGACGCACATGTTCCCTTGTCCCCCGCAAGATGAGGTTGCGTCTACGGCTCCATCCACAAGGTGGTGGTGAAAGGACGGCTCCGCAACTGTGCAACCTGAGGAACCCGTCGGGGGTACACATGTTGGAATGTGCGGTTCTCTGCCTGCCACACCACCTACCGGTGTGTGTGTATAGTGTTGCGTGTAAATCTACGTGTATATCACCACACATTACTATTATCATGATCATCATGCGCACTACCCTACCCCTCCCACCTTCCGACCGTTCCCTATCCTCCCCCCCCTCAGAGACGGTGACGTGCCCCATCCCGCCATTGGAGGCGCTCGCCGCATGCAAGTGGCGGATGCTACTCAGCAACACGGGGTCATGGTGGGTGGGGGGGTGGGGGAGGGCGCTGGGTTATGAGGCGAGCGCGAGGTCGTGACGAAGTGGCCGCATTCGGATACCCCCTTAGCAGTCCCCTCCTATCCTCATCCAAACCTTGATAGGTCGACCGCAGCAGCCACTATGATATGATATAGGACTTTGTCAGCTTCATCAACAGTAACCCCGAGTACAGCCCGGCGCCGCGCTTCCGGTGGCCGTGTGCGGAGCTCCTGGGCGATGCGTTGCACCTGTGTCCGGGTGTTTACGTTCCTGATGTGTTGAAAGCAAGTTAGTCCTGTTTCCACAGGGAAGCATTCCCTTATCTGTACGCCCCCGCCTCCGAGGGGGCCCCCTCCCGGATTTCCTGGTCGCCCTATCGAGGGGTCCGTATCAATCCGGAATCCTCGGAGGCAGGCAGCAACCTGTGTGTTTGTATGATTTTGTGTGTGTAGTTTGGCTTGAACAAATTTTCTTCTGCCTGGATTTCGGATCCGCAGATCGAGGCGGTTGAGAACCACATGCCCCAAGTGGTCGTGGTGGATGAGATCGGTACGGAAGCGGAGGCGCTAGCCTGCCGTACCATTGCGGAGCGGGGGGTGCAGCTGATCGGCACTGCTCACGGGTGTTTACTCGAGAACCTGATCAAGAACCCCACCCTGGCGGACCTTGTGGGCGGGGTGGCGGCGGTGACACTTGGCGACGAGGAGGCGCGCACCAGGGGCACCCAGAAGACGGTAAGTCCCTGTGGAGGGTGTGTGGGGGGAAGAAGGGGGAAGGGGAGGAAGTTGTCGTACGTCTCTTGGCAGAGGAAATCCGGTCCACAAGAGAGCTACCAGACATCCCGGCAACTCGCCTCCTGCTGGTAGTGGTGGTGCTACCTCGCTGCTGGGGCTGATGGGGGGCCCTCTTCGTAGTATTATATGTATTATATGCGGTTTAGACTGAGTGTTTTACTTACATAATACAGAGTGGGTATCCTTGCCCAAGCTGTTATCCTCATTACGTTGCGTCCCTGCCGTCGCCATTGTCGGCGTCGTTGCCGTCATTGTGCTCCTGACGGACACTGCAATCGCATGGAGGTCATTGCGGTCAGAACCCCACTGCACGTGTGCCCGTGTATGTATGTGCATGTGCGGTGTGTCGCAGATCCTGGAGCGCAAGGCCCCCCCCACCTTCCCCATCGTTGTGGAGATCCGGGCAAGGAACTTCTACGTGGCGCACTGGGTGGAGGATAGTGTGGACCAGCTGCTGCTGGGCCGCATGCCCGTGGTCCAGGTACGGAGGGCTTGCGTGGCGAGGTACCTGCCGGGGTGGCTGAATGGCGAATGGGGGAGGGAAGTGCCAACGGGGGGTGGAGGCCCTGTCCAGGCGAGCTGCGTGCGTAGGGATCTCGTACATTCGTGACCTGAGCACCCTGGGGCATTTGCTACTCGGTACAACTCGGTACACTCTGTGGCAATGTTCCTCCTTTTCCCACCTTTTCCCATATCCCATGTGTCTCTTTCACTCCCCCCGCCCGCCCCCACCCCGAAATCCGCTTTGGATGGCCTCATCTTGCCGGGCGAGGAGGGGGAGGTCCATGGGCCCAGTGCCGACCGTTGCAGCCGCCCGACCTCGCCTCGTGTGCCCCCTAACCAACACGTAACACATACTCCCCTCGACCCCTCCCCCTGGCCAGTAGGACTCACTAGGGGCAGTTTCGGACTCTGGACGCCGGCAGTTGATTTCTGATCTTTTCGCATCATATGATTTTCCCCCCCCCCTTCCTGGCACCTCCGGTACCCGGTGTCCCCCCCGCCCTCACCCCCCAACCCGCCGCCCGCCTGACCGTGCAGGTCCGCGAGCGGGACACCAGCCAGCCGCTCGGTCTGCGCATCAGCGAGCTACCGTACGACCAGGTTCCGGATCCGGAGCGCACCTCCGACCCCGCTCGCAACAGCTGGGATGAGGACTACGACGCGGGTGAGTGGCACAGGCGAGGGCAGTGATGTGGGTCGCCTGGTCTAGCCTGCCGGCCCCTAGGGTTGCAAGCAGATGCGGTGAAGATGTAGGTGAGGCGGGGTGAGGCCAGTGGCGAGAGTCGGGCTCACCGCATACGTTGTGTGCGCGGAGAGGCATCAGAAGAGAGAGAAGTTATTACTCTCTCTTAACGCCCCACTACCACATTCCACGCCTCTGTGTGTCCATGACAATCTGTACTTTGTGTTGCGTGCGGCCATTGATTAGGAGTGGGGTCCAGTGCTGCCACTACTAGGATGGCGGTTGTGGCACGCAAGAGGAATGCAGCGGCGTTGGTCTCGCCATCTTGATCCCTGTCCTCCCTCCCTGTGGCGCGGTCATGCCCCATCTCGGCGCATGCGGGAGCGTAACGGCGTAAAGCTGTGTGATGCGGCGGCAATCACCCGGTTGTGGGCCACTTTGCGCTGTCCGTGATGCCCTATTGTGTCTGTCTAAGTCCCAACCCAGCGACCTCTGTGAGTGTGGTTTATGTGTGCGTGCGTGTGGTTTATGTGTATTTCGCCCCCCTACCGTTACTACCCTAATTGCAGCTCTCCGAGACATGCACGGCAGCGGCGGCAGTCCCTCCGACTCCTGGGCGTGGGCGGAGAAGATCCGCGCTCGCGGCAAGGTGAGGTACCACCACAAGGTTGCGAGAGGGGGAAGAAGAGGGGGGAGAGTTTGGGAGGGAGGGAGGAGGGAGGGTACGAGAGGTCGTAGGCAAGTGACAAGACGCATCATCGTTGGGTCGACCAGTTTGTCAGGGAATGGAGTGCGGGAGAATAAGACGCGACTGGAGACTCGGGACGGGATTACAATGGGGAGCCTGTTCAGCTGGTGCTGGTGGTTTGCGGTTGGTTGTATTTAGGTTGAATCCAAAACCACCGCCAACTACCTCCAAAACTCCGCGGCGTCGTCGTCGCTCTCCGGACGCCCCCTCCGGATGCAGGATACAGCGCAGATGCCGCCGCCCGGGGGAGTGGGGGCCACCTCGCGCTCCTTCTTCATCGCGTCTCGATCCGCCGGGCCCAACGTGCCGCCGCCTGCTCCCTCCGGGGGCGGCAGCAACAAGAAGGCGGCCAAGAAGGGTCGGAGGTGAAGGATGGGGCCTAGTGCTCATGAATTGGACCTCCTGGGCGGTCGAGGAGAGAGGATACGACCGGCTGCTGGTATTGTTAATGCGGCGCTGGTCGTGGTGATGGCGATGGTGGTGGGAACGAAGCGAGACCGCATCGCGAGACCAAGGTACCGAACGGGGAAGCGAAGCAATATAGGTTCGGCGGATGTCATGTCTGCTAACCCGTAGGCAGTCCCGTATATGCGAGTGTCCGCACAAAAAATAACACGGCGTTCAGGTGGTGCACTGATCTCGGGGTAATCATAGGGCGGCGCAATAAATTGAGTTATTTTATTCTTTTGTTTGCGTTAACGGAGGGAGATCGATCAACAACCGATGTCTTGGCAGTTAGGGCCTTGGCGGAGGGGTGGCAGAGGAGGGGTGTTAATTCCTGATGCGAGGGCGGTCGTCGGGGGCTGAGCTGTGCTGGCTGAGTGGCAGGCTGGTTGGTGCTGCCTTCGGCGGCTCCGGAAAGGGGGAGTGGGATGGAGAGTAGCGGCTCCTGTGCCGCGGCGCGTTGATACCTGCTTAGTGTCTGGCTTAGTTGCGGCGATCTCCACAGCTTTGGCAAGACCTGTCCTTTGTGCACGGTTCATGTCCCGCCTGCCTGCATGTCTTATTAGGGGCTATTTTCCCTCGAGAGAAGAAAACTACACAGTGTACGCATGTACGAATTGTTTCGTTGGTGTTTTCGGTTGGTGGTCGTTGGTTGGGCCGAAGGCGCAACTTCGCCGGGTGGTTGCCCAGTATTTGCCCGCGTGTTAATGAGGGCTTGCGTTTGGTAATGTTCTTGGTCCGCTGTACCACCTCGCCCGGTGCGATTGTTAGCAGTGATCATGGTGCGATGCGTGTTTGGAGTCGCCGTTTTTGTTCATCTTCGCTTCCGCCCGGTGAGTATGTAGGCATCGGGAGGGACAGCGGGCCCGTACTCTCTAGCATTGTGTTGTTGTGCTTCAGGAGTGTTGTACTGATTCAAGCTGTGGTGGTGGCGGCCACCCAACTGAAGGTGTTCAACGCCTGCTTCTGGCTCTGCACACCCCAGTTTGTTTATTGTTCTTTTGTGTCCATGGCCACCCGGGTCGCATCTTGTACATTGTATTGCGTAGTTGCACGAAGAGCATGGTATTTAATTGGAACTGTTCAGAGTCTTGTTGTTGTTTTGTACAGTATCGTTCCATTTATGTTGACGTCAACATGACGTATTCAGCTCTTTGCTTCTGACAGTTCGCGAGGTTTGCCGAGGTCTTAGGTCTTATGAAGGGTTAATTGGATTTAACTTGGCGGGGACCCCGGCGTGCCCCGTACGGTCCGTGTACACTAGTCACTCTACACTGCCTGCTGTGTGTGACGACGATGGTGGCGAGATTAGGCGGGCGGAGAGCGAGTTGGGTGTATCCCAATGTGAACTTCGGTGAAGTGGAAATTCAGGCGGTTGCTAGTATAGCCGCTCGCGGTGTGACAATTTTGAAGTAATTTCGAGAGTAAGGCGAGGACTCTTTACAAAGGCAGCGGAGAGAAATGGTTGAAATGGTACCGCTTTGTCGGAGCATCTTCCAGCGAGAGGGAGAGGGGGGAGGAGCAGGTTGTTAAGAGCATTGCCGCTAGCCATCATGTACGACAGATACGGCATGGGCTAAGGGTGGATATGGAGGGGGAGATATAGGGGACAAGGCTCAGACCGCCTGCCAGTGCCGGAAAGTGTGTCGGGTTATTGGCCACGCGGACCACGGCGGCTCCCCTCGTTCCCTAACCCAGTTAAGCGTGTGGGGTATTGCCGGGGAAAAGGTCTCTACGGTATCGGAAAGATGGAGGTCCCCTTTACTTGGGACCGGATCTATGTGATCTATTCGGCTTTTGGCATGTTTGTAAGAAGTCGTACCATTTTGCTTTGGACATCCGGTGGTTTGTCCCTCGCTGCCTAGTCAGACTGGGCTCGTACGTGGGTCAGCCAGGCATCGCTGGACATATATCTCTCAAGGAATATCCTCAGCTCGGTGCTTCAGTTTCTGTCACGAACCACCACGTGAATAGATTGCAATATGTAGTAATGGAACCTAGCAGGAAATCCCACCTTGCAAACCGAGCCGGCTTGTCTCTCAACACCAGGTTGCCACCATCCCGTCAGGGGTTTCGAAGGGTACCAGCAGTCACGAAAGAACGAGGATGTTCCACACAGGACTTGTCAGGGGTGTATATTGGGGGTAAACATGCTGCAAGAAACGTCAGAGCGTATGATTTTCGGCATCCGTTGGATACCCGCACATAAGCCTCACCGACTACGCGTCAGTGCATTTATTGCGATAACATTGCTTAGGGTGCCCCTCTAGCAGGGGAGAGCAGGGAATTGCCTCGGGAAGGAGGCCACTGGTGAAGCTTAACCACCCTGTAACAACATCAACATTGCGGGACAAGTTGCTCACAACCCAACCCTGACCCTGTCCACGAGTGGTGAATCATTGTGAAGGACTCGATTGATATCATAACGTTGCCTCGGCAGAGTAAATTACGAAAACCACGAAGTACCGTTACTGTCCCCACCGAAAGTGAAAATCGTCGACGTCGCACTATTTATGTGTCCCACCTGTACACAATCGCATGTGTACAGGTGGGACGCATAAATAATCGATCGATCGCCATAGTTGTCCGCTTAAATCGCTCCCCTGTTCTGCATACAGCGAAAAGTGCATTAAGTACTTTAGGCATGGTTGAAAGAGATTTGATAAAGAAACGTAGTGGCTCTGTAACGCCGCTAAGGCGGCTCTCGGCTCACCGGGCCAACGGTTATCAAGGCTCTGCCTTGTAAAATACCAGGACGAAACCATGATATTTGAGCCGGCACCGGAACCCGTACGAACGGCCGCCTTTGCAAAGGTACAAATAGGTTGCAAGTCCGATGAAAGGTATCCTTCCAGGCGAAAGCCGGTTTTGATGATATGATGAGTGGTGGACACACCGATATCGGTGAAAGGGGCGCCGCCCCCTATACCTTGTTACGTCTTTAAGAGGTCCCTACCCCAACTCTGATTCATCACGCTTGGAAAGGATCTGAGCTGGTATTGAGATTGCTCCCCCGGATTTGCTTGTGGTCTGTGGCTTTGGCGGCGTCTACTGTGCACCGCACATGTTCGCCGCACAATTTACACTCAGGGGAATTTTGTGCCGGCCTGCTTCATTATAACCACGGCCTTTAAGTTGCATTCGCTGCTCGCTTACAGATGCCAGGTCGTTAAAAGTCAGCCTGCACCTTCGTCCATCCTTCCTGCTTGACCACACTACCTTGTCCATCATACTAACAAATCTGCATGGGTTCCATCAAGGCTATTTGTGTATGCTGCCCTAACAAATGTTCCGGGTATTGGTGTGCTTTAACCTAAGGTGCTCAGTAATTCGTGCTTGTGCACCGAGCAGTTTGTAAATCCCCCATGGTATGCGACTTTTCATCCTTTGCACCTGCGCGTCAGCGCGATTTTGGGTATAGGTATCGTTGAGCCAAGGGCGCGTGGCAGAAATCTTGGTCACCGGGGCTTCAAATCATGCCAGTCGTTATTCCGCCTATCTCCTTGTGGCTTGGGTACGGATCGGGCTTAAATAGCTGTTACACCAGAGTTTATCTTAATTACTTGGCATCCTGGTCCACGATATTTGCAATCGGAGGGTAAATTACCATTTCACAAACATACGTGAACGTGAACACAACCCACCTCTTGATCTCAACAAGATAGTCTTACAAAATTAAGACGCTCGCCGTAAAGCACCTCGCATGTAAAGCTAATAATAAAGGCACGGTGCCCTCAGACAAGACGGGACAAGAAATTAGGATGGACGCCGAGCAAGCAAAGGGAGTGAAGGCAGCTGGCGGATACTTTCCCCCTTTCGGCAAACTGAGCCACTGCACCAGTGAGACTCCCCTCTGGCATACCGGCACAGCAGTGGAAGTGGAAACGACGACAGCGGGATTATTGCGTCGCACAGCAGAATTTCAACGGTTGCGACGCACACAGGCTCCTGGTCCCCGAAAGGGTCGCGGCTCATGCACCGCCGAGGGCCCCCGGGGCGCCTGCGTCCTATCTCGGCGATGTGCGGGTGACGGCCCCACAGCGACACAAAGGACCCACCAGGCCTCCGATTAGTTATGCATTCAACTGGTGGACCCCAAATCATCGATGAGAAGTATGAGCAGCATGCGCAGAGCATGACACCGCACAAATGTGTGGACCTCCACTTTGGAGGCAGAACCCAGTTCTGTAACTCAGTAATTGAGAATCGGATTAAAATTGGCCCGGCGAAAAGGTGCGGCCCGGCCCCAATGCAGGCCTCAGCTGTGCACACATACGCTACCTGCCCAGTGTCCCTACACCGGGCCGACTTGCCCCCCGCACCGCTTCAAAGCGAATACCGATTAGCTTATCTTATCTATCTGCCAGTCTATCTATCTATTTATCTAACTATCTACCTACCAGCTATGGCCCAGACCATTTGAACCCGCCCTGACGCCGGTATATGGCGGATATGGGAGGGCCGGAGGCCGGGGGCCGGGCCGTAAGCTGGGGTATCACCGCTGTGCAATTCCCCCCCCCAGCACACCCTCACATCCAGCCCCAACCATCTACACCAGACTTGATTATTGCTGCTGCTGCAGCTGCTGCTGCTGATGATGATGATGATGATGATGATGATGGTGATTCATGGTCCCTCGCCATCACCAACTCCAGCACCACTACCACTACCACTACCACCTACTACTAACACAATCACAATAGCATTATAGGTCACTCCGCCGCCGCCGAGAATATCGCACACTGCCAGAAACCCGACACCCCCCTCTTGACATGGTGGTGGTGGTGGTGGTGTGTGGGGGGAGAAATGCTCCGGACGTCCCTGCCAGCAGCCAACTCACGTTCTTACTCACACGGCGAGAGGATGTGCACAACAATAGATGTAGCAAAACCCCGTGGGAAGTCCTTCTACCTGCAACAGCCAATATACACACACACACGTGGACTCTGATACCGCATATATCGGAATGCGACACCACCAGCTCACCACCGGCGGCCCTGGTAGCGATGGAAGTACATCACTAAAGAGCTGCCGCACTCGACAGCTCCACACACCGATGACCTTCAGTAAAGAAAAGAAGTCGTCTCCAAGATTGGATCCATGAATGTCATTCATCAAGTTCGTTGTTAGTTGGTTAGTTAAGCGGCGCTGCTGCCTCAATGTGACGGCAGAACTTGTTTACCGTACCACCAACCACCAACCGCCATCATCACCCATCGTACCCTCTCCAGGCGCAACCCCACACACGCCGCCACAACAACAAAGTAGCATCCCCGCCAGATAATGATGCCGATGATGATGATGATGATGATGATGATAATGGTGGCGCCAATTATCTTTCTCCTCCCCCACACACAACACTCACATATACACCGGCAGTCACTCCTCTCATTCCTCCTGCTGCAGCAACAACACAGATCGCACACGATGATGCATACCGCAGCACAAGACATATCAGAGGGATATCCACCATGCAGTACCTTGCCATGCCATGAAGAGTTGTATATATATCTTCCGCAACAACATTCTCTACGACCCCATACCCTCCCCACCACTCCATGGCTTCAGAGTCCCCCGGGCCCCCACTTACCACTCAATGCGCAATGGAGAGGTGGTGTGTGTTTGGCCGTTTCAAGCCTCTCACCACCTCACCACTACCCCCCCCCCGGGGTAATCCTGCTAGCCAGGCAGCACCCCGGGGTTCCCTACTAAAAAGCTAGCTATTGGTAGGGATTGTAACAAATTCCGGACTTATCCTCGCCACTGCGGGCTGCCACCCCTTGGGTGCACACTCTCAAATACCCCACCTGTCAACAAAGTAATAAATTCGGTAAAAAAAGTTCATTCTGCTCGAACATTCCAGCGAGCACACAGCTCACTCTTCCTCCTTAGCCATGTACGAATGGCTGAAAAGTCATGTACGCAAATAGCTCGTACGGCCGCATGGCTCCTAGCTTTCAGGTCAATGCGCGAATAACTCCTCTTGTCCGTACACACATATACATTTATCGTTCTTAAGATGCGACAGGTGGCGTTCCTCCTCCTCCGCCTCCTCTTCCTCCTCCTCCTCCTCCTCAGCAGCAGCAGTGCATAAGAGGTGGCGCCAACACATGATGCGATGATGCAAATTAATCTCCGTAGGGGGGTCCAAGGCACAGCTACACAGACTGTCGGCGGACCCCTCCGGCGATTCCTCAAAATATTCTGTTGAAGCTGTACCCGCACGTACTCGCTCCGCCCGTGCGGGTAGAGCCAGGGGCCTGACACGGCGCTGCGGTGCGGAAGCGGAACAGCTCAAGGACAGACAGACAGACAGACAGACATGCCGCCCAGGCGCCTTCCCGCGACCCCATTTCCCTCAACTCCCCTCCTCCTCGCTTACCGTCCTCACCCACCCCCTGCTGCATTGTGGCCTCGTCCGCGCAGACATACATACAGCCCGCTGTAACAATAACAGCAATAACAGATACACACATACACACGTACACGCGTACATACATACGCACACACGCCCGCACGTTCATTGATCCACTGCTCGCTCGCAACGGCAGCACACCTATCAGCACGCCTGCGTTCCGACATACGCCGCACCTGCCCCTATCCTCCAACACCAACTATTTACACACACACACACACATACACACGCATATAGCAGCACTCGCAGCGCAGTTATCCATCCCCATTCCCATCCCCATCCCCATCCCGTTTACGCAGAAGAACTTCGAAACAAATTTCGCCAGCCACTTGCGCCGGAGAACGTCATGATCGCGACCCGCCAACCCCAGCTATCTAAGCACTGACGGAGGACTGCCCCCCGCGCGGCTCCCGTACTGCAGAGCTGCAGCTGCCGCCGCCGCCACCGCCGCCGTCCACTCCGGCGGTTGCTTCTGCAGCCGGGGCTTCACCATCCGGGGCTGCTGCAGCGCCCGGGGGTTCCCACACTCACCGCCGCCAAATCCACACGGAGCCCTCTTCGCGGCCACCAGAGCCGCCACGTCAGCTCTCGGTCCCAGCCCCCGTCCCCGCACTTGCCGCCGCATCAACCCGCGGCTGGTGCTGCTGGTGCTGCTGCAAGCCGATGCCCAAGTCGTGCCGTTGTAGCTGTTGTTGGTGCTGGGAAAGCAGCAGCAGCATCTGAAGCTGTTGCCGTTGCTGTTGCGCCCGCAGTGGAGAAGTATTTGCCCCGTCAGCCCCGGCAGGGGAACCCTCCGCACCGGCGGGAGCCGCTGCCGCTGCCCCTCTTGCCACCGCCCCCCCTGCCGCTGTCATCGCGGCCTGGCCACCGCATCCGGCCATTGCCCTGGCGGGAGGCGGGGCTACGAGGGCGGCGGCCGCCGCGGTCGCGGCGGCGGCGGCGGCGGCGGTCTGCACGTGCAGCGCGCCTGGCTGCGGCTGCAACTGCGATTGCGGCTGTGACTGCCTTCGTGCTCGCTTGCACCGCTTGGCGGGCCCCCCATAGCTGCAGGTGTCTGTCCTAGTCGCCGGTAACCCAAACACACCGCTATCCGCACTGCCATGACAGCCCTGCGTCAGCTGCTGCTGCCGTTGCTGCTGCTGCTGTTGTAGCAGATGTTGCTGCGCAGCGAGGAGAGCCAGGGGAAGTGCCACCGCGCCCGAGGCCAAGAGGGACTCCAGCTGCGCCCGTGCAGCGCTGCTGCCGCTGCCGCTGCTGCCCGGAGCTACGGAGGCGGCTGAACCGGGCCCCGTTGGCGCCGGAGGGGCAACCCGGGGACAGCGCGGGTTGGGATCCTGCGGCGGCTGCTGGCGGTGCTGTTGATGGTGGTGGTGCTGATGTTGGTGCAGGTGCTCCTGGTGCTGCTGAACCTGAACTTGGGCCCCACTTCCCGTGATGGTGTTTTGTGGTGGTGGAGGTAGTGCCGTTGGCTCCCACTGCTGGTGCTGCTGGTGCTGCTGTTGGTGGCGCTGGTGCTGTGGAGATGATCGCGTCAGCACTACCGGCTGGGGCCCCCCTGGTGGCTGCTGCGGCTGCTTGTCATTTTCCCACGTCTCGCGGCGCCGCACTTGCATCAAAAACTGTTGTTGTTGAAGTTGTTGCTGCTGCTGCTGCTGCTGGTGTAAGTGATGTGCGTACAGGGCCCCTGGAGGCTGCGCACCGAAGCCCATCGCGGCCGCCATCTGCACTCCCGCAGAGCCCGCGAGCAATGAGGACGCGCGCCCTCCCGGCGGCGGCGTAGGCATGGACAGCGGCAGCGGCAGCGGCGGTACGAGCGGAGGCCATCTGAAGGCCGACGGCCCCACGGGCCCCGCTGCCGCTGCCGCTGCCGCCCCAGGTCCGTGCCCTGCTTGCCCCGTGCCCTGCGGCCCCATCCGCCCCGCGCACAGCAACCCCTTTTCCGCCTCCTTTCCCTCCGAGCCCCGAGACCTGCCCTCGCGGCTGAAGATGTCCCCCCCCGGGGCGTCTCCTCCCCCTCCCCCACCGTCCCCTCCGCCAGATCCAAATCCAGATCCAGATCCAGATCGCGGTAGGTCATCCCCTCCTGGACCTCCCATCGAGTTCAACTGTGAAGGAGCTTTCTTGCTGCAGCTGCTGCTGCTTTTGTTGTTGTTGCTGTTGTTGGCGGTGGTGGTGGTGGTGGTGACGTTATTGTTGTTATTTTTGTTGGCTTCCTGACGCGGTGGCTCAGTGGCCGCCGCCTGACGACCTGTTGGCGCCATGGAGCTGGCGGAGGAGCCATCAAGGGGGGGAGGGGGAGGGGGAGGGGGAGGCGGGGGAGGAGGGTAGACGGATGACCGGAAGCGGCGGTGAATGACGTCGCCGCTGGCACCTAGCCAGCCTCCCTCCACAGCGCCAGCGCCAGCGCCGCCTCGGTTGACGTCGTCGCCGTCGTCGTCGTCGTAGGCGTCAGGGGTTTTCGTGTCTGCTGGGCCCTGCAGGGCAGTGGCCGCATCCCGCTTACTGCCGCTGCAATTGCCTGGCGGTGGCGGCGGCGGCGGCGGCGGCGGTGGTGGGGGTGGAACGCCTGCGGCGCCTTTCGGCGCCTGCACAGCGGCCACCACATCCTCAACCGCTGCTGTGTCTTGGGCCTGGGAGCTGCGGGCTGTAGCAGTCATTGCGCCAGGCGCTGCAGCTGCGGTGATGCCACTATCAGCAGTAGCAGTAGCTGTAGCTCTGCCTGCTGCCGCAGCTATTGCTGCAAGCACACTTGTTGTTGTGGTGGGACCAGCTACAGCCCTCGCACCGCAGTTGCCGCCAATGCGGGCCCAACCCGGCAGGGGCGGTACACAGGGAGGCAAAGCCACACGATGCTGCTGCGGCTGCTGCTCTGAAAACGACGGCGGATGCGGCGGCGACGCGGCGGCGCAAGGCAGCCGCTCCGGGGGGCAAAGGATGCCGCCGCCGCCGCCGCCGCCGCTCGAGTCGATGCTACTTCTGCTGAACGACACCCGCTGGGAGCCCATTGTCGCCGCCGCCGCCGCCGCTACAGCCGCAGCCTCGGTCTCCAGGGAGGGCCCCAGCAAAGCGGCTCGCAATGCCGCCTCCATCGATGATGCCGACGAGCTCAGGGCGCCAGGCAGCGCCGCCGCCGCCGCTGCCGCAGCAGTAGCAGCAGCCGTGCCGCCGCCGCCACCGCTTCTGGCTGCGCTCTTGGCCTCCGTGACAGGTAGGCCGGCCCCGCTTGGCGGAGACTCCACGGCACCGGCCACGACGCCGGCGGGTTTAGGTACGGCAGGTGGGAGGACCTGACCTGCCGGCTCAGCTCCCGACTTGCCAGCTTCATGTGCTAACAACAACAGCTGCAGCTGTTGCAACTGCTGCTGCAGCTCAAGCGCTGGGAGTTGGAGGGGGTGAGACGGTGACCATGAGGCCGCCCGCAGCGGCGGCGGCGGCGCTGCCTGGCGC